TTAACTGTCGTCGCCGTTAGCTGCCGTCGCCGTACAACTGTTGCTGTCGCCGTGCAACGCATTTGCCATACGTCTTTGAAACAATTACGCAGGCAGGGAGATATCGGTTCCTTTCAAAATTGGGTTCCCTCTGCGGACCGTCTCACACACTAAGCTCAAGACGTAATTACTACCCCCCCGGGGCTACCAGTAGCACCGCACCGATATTCATATATTACAGGGGGGGGGGGCTTTCACCGAACGGTAACTTTAGCACCGCATCGCGCAGCAACCATTAGGTTTCACATGTTGAGGCGCTTCGGTTTCAAAGTGTGGCTCTCGCTGTGCCGCCTCCCGCATTCGTTGTTAAAGCTGCGTAAGGGATTTACGGATTGGGGGCGGCTCGCTATCAAAATGTGGCTCTCGCCGAAGCGCCGCGCACATTCGTTGAAACAACTTTGCAAGAGCTTCACGGCTGGAGGGCGGGTCGCTTCAAACATGTTCCTCTCGCCTTAGCGCCGCGCGCATTGGTTTCAACAGTGAGCACGAGTGTCACGGATTGACGTCGGCTCGTTTTCAAAATGTGGCTCTCGCCATCGCGCCGCGCAGACTCGTTGTAAAACACTGCACGGGCTTAACGATTTGAGGGCGGCTCGTGTTCAACATGTGGCTCTCTCCTGCAATAGGTTCACGGGTGGTGATCGCAACGGTACTAGCTAATCTTAATACTCGTAAGAATTCAAAAAAGTACAAGCAACACTTTGAAGTACTAGTCATACCAATTATCCGCACCTCTCTGTCCTATACGGCTCCTGCTCCATTTCCCAAAAAAACACTGGTGTCCGTCGGCCGTCCTAGGGGGTGTTCAACCCGCAGGGTGCCGCCCCAGCCCCGTCCGTGAGTAGCCGAATTAGTGAGGCTGTGACAGTGGAACCAACGGATGTGCTTGGCAACGTTTTAGAATAGTAACAATACAAAGCATAAACACATTCGTACGGATACGAATACTTAGTAGCATCTGCAACCGTGAAAGTAATAGTAAGACTACTGGTGCTTAGCTGTAGGAGGTAGCAGCGCAGTGCAGTGAACGTAGTACGAATCAAAAGAAACGTATAATTTGTAATAATTAGCGCCAGTAGGATTCATAGTAGTGATACTTTGGCACGGTGGTAATACTTCGAGATGGGCTTCAGTTTTCTTTCCGTTTTCTCCCCACCTTCCCCGTCCTAGACGTTTCCTGCTAGAGAGCCCAATGAAAATTGATGCTCGCCAGCTGTCCCAAGGGTTGGTCCTTCCCAGGGTATCGCCGCCCCGGCCTCGCACGGACCATCATCTTAGCAGTGCGGAGCGGCGAAAATAGCTATCTCCCGCCAGCGGGTAGTAGCAGTAATAAAAATTAGGTGGCAGTAGACATGATACTGCGAGAATTAGCTATAAGACTACAACTGGCACTGGCAGTGATGCTAGTAGTGGTAGTCGTAGTACCAGTAGTAACAATAATAACAGTGGTAGTAGTAGTCGTAGTAGTAGTAGTAGTAGTAGTAGTAGTAGTAGTAGTAGTAGTAGTAGTAGTAGTAGTAGTAGTAGTCGTAGTAGTAATAGTAGTCGTTGTAGTAGTAGTAGTAGTAGTAGTAGTAGTAGTAGTAGTAGTAGTAGTAGTAGTAGTAGTAGTAATAGTAGTAGTAGTAGTAGTAGTAGTAGTAGCCGTGGTAGTAGTGGCAGTAGTAGTAGTAGTAGTAGTAGTAGTAGTAGTAGTAGTCGTAGTCGTAGTAGTAGTAGTAGTAGTAGTAATAGTAGTAGTAGTAGTAGTAATAGTAGTAGTCGCCGTAGTAGTAGTAGTAGTCGCAGTAGTAATAGTAGTAGTAGTAGTAGTAGTAATAGTAGTAGTAGTAGTAGTAGTCGTAGTAGTTGTTGTTGTTGTGGTAGTAGTAGTGGCAGTAGTAGTCGCAGTAGTAGTAGTAGTAGTAGTAGTAGTAGTAGTAGTAGTAGTAGTAGTAGTAGTGGTAGTAGTAGTAGTAGTAGTAGTAGTAGTAGTAGTAGTAAAGTTAGTAAGCCGTATCGATTTGACGATCCTGGACCGATGCGAAACACTCTTTCTGGTACGTTAACCATGGGAGCCCATGAACTCGTGCACCGTTTTCAAAACGAATGAGCGCGAGAACCAAATGTTGGACGCGAACCCATCCGCAAAGCTCTTACAAAGTATCTAAAACTAATGTGCGCGGCACTGAATCGATAACCACATTTTGAAAACGAACCGCCCTAAATCCGTGAAGTTATTGGTAGTGTTTGAAACGAATGCGCGCGACGCTGAGGCGAGAGCTACATGTTGGAAGCGGCCCGACCTCTATATGTGAACAGATTGCTTGTTGTGAAGCCTGAGGCTCATGCATGGCAAGGAAGTCCCAGGCGGCAGAAGGAGGGAGGACAGGGAGAACTCCTCCTCCCCCCTCCTCCTTCTCCTCCTCCTCCTCCTCCCCCTCCTCCTTCTCCTCCTCCTCCTCCTCATCATCATCATCAACATCCTGCTGACGGCCAGTGCCAGGATGACGCTTCTTGGTGCGGAAAATTGCATCCTGTTGCCGAAAGGGTGGGGGTTCTAAATTGCTTCTTGAGGCTATGGCCCGATATTTAGACATGTGCAATCGTAGCACAGATGAAGGGCTGTTTCTGGCAAAGTAGGCCCATCGCGCGGCACTTCCTCGCACATCCTTGCCCAGAACCTGAACATGTGCAACGGTCTCACGGATGGAAACGCTTCATGTCCAAAGCGTGGTTGCAGCTTGACATGAGCGCTCGTCATGTAAGCGGGCGCTTGTGGTAGAGGACTCGCATTTGTGCAGGGCCTCACGAAGGGGAGGGCGGGGACGGGAGGGCGCGGTGCAACCTCAGTTGCGAATCCATGGTTTGACATGGTCCTCCACTCCACCTCGTGCCACGACTGTTGGCACTCCTGCCTGCCAGCACTCGTGCTCTCCGCACTGCTGGTCGATTGTGTCTTACGACCCAGGCGCAACTCTGGATTAAAAACAAACTGTCATCCCTGAAATATTGATGGGCCTGTTTTCCACCACCACAACCATAAGTTGGAGGGGGGAAGGAGGTGGAGGGTGAGGAGGAGGAAGAAGGAGAGGGGGAGGAGGACCCCCTCCCCCCTCCAACTTGTGGTGGTGGTGGTGGAGAACATGCCCATCAAAAATGCATGCTTTACTGCAACCTGCTTCCGCCGGCCTTCCGCAAACATCCGCATCCGCCCGCGGGCCCGCCGCCGTGACACTTCCGCGGGCCTTCCGCCGAGGAAGAGGAGGGCAGCCGATCGACCCCTCCCACTCGAGGCCCCTTCTGGACCCCTCCGCGTGCGCAGTCCCAGACATCCACTGACAGAATTTGTTCAATCCGCGGCCCCAGAACGTCGGATCCCTTCCCTGGGTGTAGCTCTGCGTCCCAGAAATTATCTTGATGTCCCCGGGGCCCGATAACGGGCCTCCAAGAGACTGGAATCGAGGATAGCGCCAGTATGAGTAATTCCACATCCTCGGAGACCTGGGACTTGGCCCCGATCCACTCGGATCTCAGCCAATCGGGCCAGGCTTCCAGCGAGCTGAGGCGTTGGACCCGGCGCCCCTCTGGGGGGAAGGGGCTTACCGCGCCGCGGCCGGTGCGCGCAAAGCGCCAGGAACGGGAGAGCGAGATAGGGAGGACGGGAAGGATGAGGACAGGCGAGGGGGACGGATGTGGGGGTGGATGGTGAGAAGGAGGAGGACGAGAAAGAGGGGGCCGAGCATGCTGATCATGGTGATGGTGATGGTGATGATGATAGTGATGGTAATGGTGGTGGTGATGGTGATGATGCTGCTGGTAATGATGATGTTGATGATGGTGGTGCTGCTGATGATGATGATGATGATGACGGCGACGACTGCGATAACGACGATGCTGCTGGCGATGATGATGATGATGATGATGATGATGATGATGATGATGATGATGATGATGGTGATGATGATTATGGTGATGATGATGGTGATGATGATGGTGGGGATGAGGGTGATGCTGAGGATGAGGATCGGGATGCTGTTGATACTGATTATAAAGATGACGATGATGGTGACAATGATGCTTACGACGAAAAATGTCATGATGCTGATGATGCATACCATGATGATGGGCACGATGATGACGACGATTTGGACAGCGACGATGCTGATGATGCTGATGAGGAGGTTGATACTGATTGTTATGATGATGGATGATGGTGGTGGTGGTGGTAATGGTGATGGTAATGAGAGAGGGGTGGAAAAACAGGAGGAGGAGAAGGAGGAGGAGGAGGAGGAGACTAGAGAGAAGGAGAACGGCAACGACGCTGCGGGATAACAATGAAAGTGATAAGAAGAAGATGATGACAACGAGGAGACCGAGGACGATGATGACAATAACCAGGAGCGGCGGGAGGAGGAGGAGGAGGAGGAGGAGAAGCAGGAGGACAGAAGAGCGTGAACAAGACGAGAATGACGAGGAAGGGCAGGATGAGGAGGACAACGACGAGGACGAGGACGGCAAGGACGACCTGAAGAAGGAAAGGATAAGTAGCAGGATGGGGGGCTGGCAAAGGACGACCCTGAACACCGATGTCGCGAACAAACATCACAACCGAGAAAAAAGCAGAAACGGCGTTCCGCAGCATTTCTTGACTGCACCTTTCCGCTGCATTTCCTCGATCGCCGATCGATCTGCGAGGGCCCTGGGTCCCGAGACTTGGCGGAGACGCCTGATGCGAAAAGGATGCGACGCCGGAGGCCGCCCAGATGGGGCTGCAGTAGCTGGAGTCAGTGGATCGCGGATGCGCAGGCGACGTCGCGATGGAGAAGTCTGGCTGTGGATCGCGCTGCATCGCCGAACCATCGTCGATGCATCGTCGATGCGGCGCGATCAGCCGATCCCGCCCACTATGGCCCCAGCTTGGCGGCCTGGAGGGTCGGGGGGTGTCCTCGACAGCTGAGCCGACAGGGTCTTTGGGCGCGTCATTTGTTCTGCCACAGGACGCTGAGGCGGCCCCCGCGCGCCTCGGCCAGCCTGTCCACCAAGTCGAACATGTCCTCCTCCTTCTCGATGTCGTTGGCGCCGAGGCATAGGAACGCCAGCGAGGGCATGAGGGACGGCCTGTCCAGCAGCGTGTTGCAAAGGTGCACGCAGCCCTCGTCCCGGAGCGCGCAGCCGCCCAGGTCCAGGTGCTCGAGTCGCTGCCACTGCGCCTCTCTATGAGAGGCGAGCGCGTATCCGCATCCACCACGCCCTCGCTGTCTGAACTCCGGGGCGCGATCCCGTGGATACGTGGCCGCAAGGACGCGTTCCGCGCGGGCCATCCGCCGAAAAGCGCCCTGAATACATGGGGTCGCGACCCAGGGGCTTGGCCCGCAAGGCCGTGGATATGAAGGTTTTTTTGCCCGCGACGAGCCCAGACCCCCGACATCATGATCTTTGCCACAACGTCGGCCCCCAGGGGCCTCTGCCTACTCCCCGAAACCAGCTTTCAATCCTGATCAGATGTTTGGCGGTCATGGGTTCTGGCGAGGGCCCCCAGAAGCCGACAAAGCAGAAAACGGGTGGTCATCCCTGTGGCCCGAAGTTGTGAAACAAACACAGCATCGCGAAAGATCACGAACGGCGCCCTAGACCCATTCTTTCTGCGGCATCCTCCGAGCCGAATCGATCTGTGAGGGCCCTGGGGCCTCACACCCGGCGACGACTCCGGGCGCGAAACAATCGCAGCGCATGGATCCCATGGGTGTGCTCCCAGACTGCTTTCCGCCCGCGACCTCCTCCAGCGTGGCAGACCAGCTGGCCACGGACGGGCCCAGGGTCGGGTTGCTGAAGAGCTCGAGCGCCACGAGGGGCTGCTCGCCGAGGGCAGGCAGGACCAGGCCGCCGAGCCCGGTCGAGGACAGGTCCAGCCGCGCCGCACAGCGGCTGAGCAGCTCGCAGCCCTCGTCGCCGATGACGTTGGCACGAACCTCGGGGGGGCCAGGGAGCAGCTCCCGGAAGCTCCGTGCAGTTCCCAATTGGAGCAAGGACGGACGGTCCCGGCACCCCGATATGCCTGCACTCAAGTATTGCCTGCTCCACGAGGTGTTCTAAAGCACCAGAGTGCTCGAATCACATCGACAGTGCTCTTCGAACAGGTCCCCGATGTGTTGAAACAAGACGGCATCAGGCAGGCATGTTCTAAGATCATCTCGCGCAAACTAGAAAAGGTGTCAGAACACTCTGGTGGGCCTGTAGGCAAGCTGGGAGGCCTCGCCACTGTGTAACCCATGGCGCCCAATAGCGCGTCAAGTAGCGCGCAAAATGAGCGCAACGCATGTCCCTAAAATGGCGCTGTTGGGCGCTGCTGGACATTATTTGAACACTATTCGGCGCGACTGGGCGCGGTGTTCGCGATGTTGGGCGCCATGTCTTCAATGCCAAACGAGCGAAAGCCTCCGTGACTTACCATCAAATTGGAGGGTTCCCCACACGTGCAGGCTTCGTGAGCAAAACAGCGATGGAGGCTGCTTTTGGCCGTTGTCGGCCTCCGAGGGCCCTCGCCCGGACCCTGGACCGTACAAAAATGGCATCGGGATGAGAAGTTGGCCCTGGTGCAAGAGCAGCACGCGCGCACACCTATACGGAGGAGAAATCGGGAAGGGCAAGGCAATGAGTGCACTGTAGGTATGGGAGCGAGTTGTCGGACCCTGAGGGGGGGTCTCGTTCGAGCTGAGACCACCATCAGACAAACTTCACACACACACACACATAAACACACAACTATAGCCCGCCGCTGGAATTCCACCCCGAGAATTCTGAGGGTCGCATGGATGTGGGTGCTAGCTGAGGGTCGCATGGGTATGTGTGCCAGTGATCAGCTCATGAAGCCCTGGGGGAGGACGTGGTCGGGGGCTGCTGGGGACCCCGCCCTGAAAAACTCGAGACGCCGCACGTCTGGGCTGGCGGCGCGCGCGCGCATGCGGGGCAAAGGGCGGGGCGGGGTCTGGGCAGCGCGCCGCTCGGAAAAAGCCTGGGGGAAAGGGGGGGTGCACGGAGGCCGAGGCGCCTCCATGGGAACCCGGGGAGGGGGGGGATGGTCTGGGTGAGGTGCGAGGGCGGCGCCCATACACCACACGCAGAAACCCGCATTTACGGATATGAGTGCGTAGCCCTCTTAGGGGCCCCTGGGCGGCGGCGGGGGCGAAACGTACTGCCACCACGCATTGCCCCAACGTGTTGCTCCCATGTGCTGCCCCCGTGCATTGCCCCAGTGGGCTGCCCTGAATCTCGCCCCCGTGTACTGCCCCCACCCTCGCCCACAGAGACTGAGCCCTCCATCCATCCACGCGCGCGCGCAGGGAATACATAAGACCGCTCGGGTCCTCCCGCCCTGACCATCTTTGGACTAACCTCAGGCCCCGCTCCAAGGCGGTACAGTGCATAGCTGTCCGGCCCTGGGGGCCCATCAACTGTGCACCGTACCGCTCCTAAGTCGACGATTGACGACTCCTCGGGAGACGCCAGCGCGGCACGGTGCAGAAAGGTCGTCCGCGGAGACCGAAGCTCCAGCCTCTTGAGGAGGCCCTTGGCCTTCTCCGTAGGAGGCCGCCGCCCCCTCGCGCCACTCCCACGTGCGCGAGCGCTTTGGACCATTCTGCGGACGGGCGACTGAGGGGCCGAAGAGGCACGGCCGTAAGGGCCCCCTTGGGAGGGTGACCCATCCTTATCATTGATCTCCTCGGCTACGAATATTTTGCGGAGCTCAGCGCCCACCGTCTCACAAAATACTAAGCTGAGACGGCTGGCTGCCTCCGCTCTACGCCGCTGAGAGGCGCAAGTCGTGCCAAATCTGCCATGCATGCCAGCAGCTCCACAGATCCCGGAAGAAGGCCAGCGGCGGCCAGGTCCCCAGCACTCCGCGGGAGGCACGACGCGAGACTGGACAGAACGGCGAGAAGAGCAGCACAAAGACGCCTGTCGGACGCGCTGGCATGGCATGGCAAGACCGCGCGGTCTGGCACGGACACCACTCCTGGTTTTAAACAAGGACCGACCGTCCCTGCATTCCTATAGGCCTACCGCGAAATTCTTTTCGAACCCCAGATATTCTAATAACAAACGATGAATTTTCATAATGTAAGCCCGACGTGTTATAACAAGACAACCTCGGCCAGAAATATACTAAGAACATTTCGTGTGCACCACAAAAGGTTCTTAGAACAGTCTTTGGTGGGCCTATAGGCCAGCCAGAACGCTTCGCCACTGCTTGATGATCCCTCCTCTCTCGCTGGCGCTGGCCGCTGGGCCGCCTTGTGGCCCGAGGGGAGAGGGGGGGAGAGGGGGAGGAGCACGTGTCTGAAGCAAGCGGCACCGTGGAGCAGGGGCAGGAGCGGAGTCGGGGAGGCACGGAGGTGAGGTCCAGAGGAGGTGGATGCAGAGGCGCGTGGAGAGTAGCACGGGGGGAAGTGTGAGAGGCGAGGGGAGGGGGGGGGGGGCGGAGGGCGCGAGGGGAGGGGAGGGGATGGGAGAGGAGATGGGAAGGATGGGGCGGGCGAAGGAACCGCTTGCGCCATCGAGTCGACAGGTGGCGAGCGCACACGCTAGCGGGCCGAGCGCAGACACCAGCGGGCATCATCGAATCGATAGACACCAGCGGGCATAACCGAAGGCCACAGAGGGCACACCGGAGCACTGGTGCCCTTTTCATTCTCCTGCTCCGCCCTGCAGGAGGCCTGTCTGTGCCGCCCGCCCTGCTGGGCCGCGCATCACGGGCGCTAACTATCGCGGGCGGGCAGCCTAGTAGTGAGTGCCCGTCCCGCGGAACGCCCCCTTCCTGCGGCATGGAGCCTTCTGGCGGGCCCTCAACGCGAGGCAGAGATAGAGAGGCCCAGCTCGGAAAGGAACGGCATGATGGGCCACCTCGCTGGAGGTGGGTGGTGGTGGTGGTGGTGGTGGTGGTGGTGGTGGTGGTGGTGGTGGTGGTGGTGGTGGTGGTGGTGGTGGTGGTGGTGACGCTTGTCCTCCCTCCGACGGCGCGGGAGGGCCTCAGTGGCCACCAGGAGGACCCAAAAGGGCCTCGGAAAGGCCACCTCCCCCTTCTTCTCCTCCGCCACCGCCGCCTCCTCCTCCTCCTCCTTCTCCTCCTCCTCCTTCTCCTCGTTATTTTCCTCCTCCTCCTCCTCCTCTTCCTCCTCCTCCTTCTCCTCCTCATCCCCTCCTCCTCCTCCTCCTCCTCCTCCTCCTCCTCCTCCTCCTCCTCCTCCTCCTCCTCCTCTTCCCCCTCCCACTCCCTTCCCACTCCCCCTTTTCCTCCTCCTCCTCCTCCTGCACCAAGAGGCTTCTTCATCCACGGCCCAAGCACGGTGGTGGGATGTGCCGAAGGCAAATTTGCGAGAAGGTTCGCTGATGGTTGTTCCAAACAAAGACCGGTTCAGCGTCGTGCCGCGCGCCCTGCACGCTACGCCTCCTGGTGGCAGTTTTGACACCTGCTGCAGGTCCATGGTCCAGAGATCCCAGACTCAAAACAACAAATGCCATCCATTGCGAGGGCCACTATTACTTTCGCTGACTTCCGCCGAGCTTCCGCCGGCGGAGCCGCCCCCGCTTCACTTCCGCCGCCTTCCGCCGAGGAAGAGAGTTGCCAACTCCTTCGACACTCGAAGGCAAAGCCTTCTTCATGGTGCGCGCCACACTCTACAACCCGTTGTTTGATTATTCGCGTCACGTCAAGATTCGCGCCTCGCCCTCCTCCTTCCCCCTGGTCACGTCACGACTCGCGCCAGCGCCGTGTAGGAAGTAGACATTCCTAACATTCCCAGACGGGAGCGGCAACAGCAACCGACCAAGATGGAGAGACAAGGCAACGTGCGGAATCCCAGGCCAGACTACATAGGGGTAACGGAAAGGAAGACAGGACACCCCCCTAACACTGCCCCTTGGCGGTCGGGTCACAAATCGGCTCTCTGGCGGCCGTTCGGGACGACCTGGGCACTCCTGGAACGCTCTCGGCGAGGCGCAGCTGCTGGAAAGCATCCCGAGGCTGGAAACCGCCGAAATCTGACGTGATCGTCAGAAACAATCGAAATTCGAGCCTGACGTCACCCCCCACACAAACACACACTTGACTTACACTTATACTTACACTTACACTTACACTTACACATGCACTTTCACTTACACTTACACTTACACTTACACTTACACTTACACGTACACGTACACGTACACGTACACGTACACGTACACTGACACTGACACTGACACTTACACTTACACACACACACACACGCCAGCACGCGTACACACAGGCCGTGGATGCCTTCATCCGTTCATGCTGAGCCGGCGGCGGCGGGAGTGGGGGCGGGCAGCGGCGCGGGGGGCGGGCATTGAGGAGAAGCCCGGAGCCGACAGGGCGTGGAGCCGGCGCCCGCGGAGCGACTCCGCGAGCCTGCTGCAACCCTCGAGGGTGAGCTCGCATCGCTCCACGAACAGCTCCTCGAGCCCGAGATGAGCAGGGGGAGAAGGAGGAGGCGGAGGACGAGAGGAGGATGGAGGCCTCCCAAGTGGGGTCAGAGTAGATGGGGTCGGAGGACGCGCCGCATCGCCGATGCATCAGGCAGTCGGTGTGGATCAAAACTGACTCCACATCGAGCCGCATCGCGGATGCATCGGCGATGCGGCGAGATCAGATCCTTCGGCAGGCCTGGATAGGAGGAGGAATGAGGGAAGGGAGGGGAAGCAATGGGGGAAACAAGGGGAGGAGGAGGAGGAGGAGGAGGAGGAGGAGGAGGAGGAGGAGGAGGCTTCGGCAATTTCTAAACGTCTTCGGAGTCGCCACGCAGCTGCCCCGCTGACTGTTTATGAGGAGTTGCCTTGGCCCAAAAGCAGGAACTCCAGCAGGGCCTAGGGGTCGACGAGTGAGACACGACGCGACCTCGGTAGAAGATGCACTCACCCTCTGGTTCTCCCAGGCATATCCGGGCGGCGAGACGAGGAGGGATGGGCCCATGGAGGCCCCCCGCCTGCAACAGAGCCCATGTCCACTGGCTCTTTTCGAGAGATGCGACAGCTGACCTCTGAGCATCTGGCTTGCGATGTTGGTCCGACCGTCTCTCCCACGTGCTGCCACTGCCTGCTGTCTCGCACGCGGAGGCCTCTGTCTGCGGCCACTGCCTGCCTTGCTCGCGCGCTGTCGCCCGAACGCTGTAGCCGATAGCGTTGGGTTTGGCTTCGCCCCCCCCCCCCCCCCCTTGCAGCCACTGCCCGCCGGCTCGCACCTGATGCAAATGCCTGCTGCGTCGCACGCAGAGGGCGCTGCCTGATGCCACTGCCCGCATTGCCCGCGCGCTGTGGCCCGAGCGTCGTAGCTGATGCTCTTGGCCTCGGCTGCGTGCCTGCCCTTTGGCGGCCACTGCTCTCCCTCTCGCACTTGCAGGCGCTGCCTGCTTTCCCTCGACACGGCGGCCGCTGCACTGCTAGGCTTCCTCGCACGGTCTGGCTCGAGCGCTGTGCTGACAGCGCGAGGTTCGGCGTTATCCCGTCTCGGAGGTGCCGCCACTGCCTGCTTCCTCGCACACGGCGGCCACTGAGTGCTGCCACTGCTTGCTGCCACTGCCTCCAGTCCTTGTACGCTGTGGCCCGAGCATCGTAGCTGATGGCATTGGGCTCAGCGTGTCCCGTCGCTAGTAGCCATTGCTCTCCTTCTCGCACTTGCTGTCACTGTTGCTTTCTCGCACACGGTGAATGTTCGCTGCCGCTGCGAGCCTTTCTCGCACTCGCTGGACTGGGGCGAGTGCACTGGGCCCAAAAGGGAAGGTGACACAGGCGGTGACGACCACGGACGACCAATAACGAGAAGTATCCTACGGGTCCAGCCTTGAAGTGCAAGCACAAGGGGATGAGGCCGCATGGAGATGGGCGGCGGCGATCGCTGGACCAGCAGGAAGAGGAGGAGGAGGAGAAGGAGGAGGAGGAGAAGGAGGAGAAGGAGGGAGGCTGCGCTCGACGAACACTAAAGCCTACATGAACAAGGAACCAGAAGAAGGAGGAGGTGGAGGAGGAGCGAGGATGAGGAGGAGGAGGAGAAGGAGGAGGAGGAGGAGGAGGAGGAGCGAGGAGCGAGTGTGAGGAGGAGGAGGAGGAGAAGGAGGAGGAGGAGGAGCGAGGAGCCAGAAGGAGGAGGAGGAGGAGGCAGAGGGGCCAGGAGGAGGAGGAGCGAGGAGGAGGAGGAGGGGGAGGAGGGACGAGAGGGGAGAGGCGCCCTGGACCGCACGGTGCTCGGCCAGAGAGGGTGAGCAGGCGGAGCGCGAGGACGCCCCCGACAAGGAGGGCGGCGGCGACGACGACGACGACGACGACGACGACGACGACGACGGCGACGAAGCGCACCCTCACCCGCTCCACAACCTGCGGTTCGCTCAAGCTCGAAGGATCTGGGCGGCTTTCCGATCGCCAGATCGTTCCCTGTTGTCGGCGGTGGACAAACCTCCTTTAGTAAACCTCCCTTCAGTGAAAGCGGCCTGGGATCGAGACCGTCGGTCCTGGACCCGCAAAAATGACGGCCGCGACGCCCTCTCGCGAACCGAAAACGGCCAATTCGCTAATCGACGTGTCAGGGTAGGAGGTCTGTCCACCCCCGATTATTGGCCGGCCCCTGTGCCACAGGCAACGCTTCACCTTGGACGCCCTCGGCCGGGCCGCCGCCGCGCCGACACGGCGCAAGCCTGCCGTGACCGCCCGTCGGATCTCCGCCCGCTCCCAAAGACAAAGGAAGAGGAAAAAAAACTCGACCCCTGAAATAGGATAGCGCCCGCAGGGTTTTCGGGTCATAACTTTAGGTCGGGCGTGTCCCCCTACAGGCGGGTTTTGGGCGAAAAATCAAAAATATTCCAACAAAACCCAAAAAAGCAAAACAAAAATGCTCAAACATCGTCCCCTGACTATTTTTGAATTTTTGTTGGACATTCCCCCTGTAGAGGGACAGGCCCGACTGAATCACAACTCGGGCCTTCGGCCTTGGAAGCGGCCGGGGCTTGACCAAGTTGGGGCATGGGCCCGGAGGGATGAGGCCGAACCCGCTCAAAGTCGGTCCCCAGACCCCTCCTGGGGCCACCTGGTGCAATTTTCACCCCGGGTCCGTTTCTGACGGCCCCCGCAGACCGCAAACGGCCCAAAAACCCTCCTGGACCTGGGGCCTCGAACCTGCCCGCCTTTCCTGCTGGCCACAAACAGTGCCGGGCCACCGCAGACCCCCAGACGGCTCCAACTCCCGCGGCCGTCCCGGACGACCCGGACACCCCGAGAATACTTCCACTTCCGGCGAGGAGCAGCTGCTGGAAAGCACTTCGAGGCTGGAAGAGGCCCTGGGAACCGACGAAAACGCCAGAAACTGTCAAACTTCCCCCCTGGGCGCGCCGCCTAATTGCAGGCCTAACGCTCGCGAAAACGTCCACCTCTTGGCATGGAAAAGACGGGTCCTGTGGAAGCTGGCCCTGGACCCCAGGGCATTTCCCCCAAGACCGCATCTTCATCCTGCCTCGTTGTCTGACAGTCCTGGGGCCCGTGGAGGCCCCGAGAGCCTGAAAACGGGGAAAAGCTCAGGACCCGTTTCCCTCAGGACCCGTCCCCTTCATGGCGAACCTCGGCGGCGGCTGCGACGACGGCGACGACGACGAGCGGCTCCTCGAGGCCGAGTCCCCGCTCCAGCGCGCAGGCCACCGCCTGTTGGCGGCCCATGCGATCCCCCCCCGTCTCCCGCAGAGGGAGAGGGAGAAGTGTTTGCGGTTCCCAACCTGGGCGGCGATAAGAAACGGGTCTTGCGCGCGAGTTGGCACGGCGACCTTACGCCGAGGCTTACGGGGATCGCCCGCGCGGCACGCCACTTTGAAAACGAGGGCGCTTATAGACGAAGAACAAAAGGTATAACCATAAACATTTGGCGCTCCGCGCGGATTTTTGGATCTGCGCTGGACCCCCTCCCTGGCGCGCGGAGCGCGCCAGGGGAGCGCTACGAGGGGCGCCGCCAGGAAGGGCCCCGCGCGGATCCAAGAAATCCGCGCGGAGCGCCAAAAAGTTTATGCTTATGGCAGTTGTTCTTCTTCGAGCTTAGTTACGCGCGACCTTATGCCTCCAGCTTTCGCGCCAATGCCGGCGCCGACGACCCCATTTGTGTTGCGTCGCTCGTCTGACATCCGGGCGTTGCACTTCTGCTTCGCACAAGGCGTTCTCTGTCCGCCTCCGGGCCCCGCACCACATCACAGATCGATCCTGCATTGAACGCTGCCGAGAAAAACACTGGGCTCGAACAGTGATGTCTTACGTTGTTTCATGTTCGTTCGAGGCAACGGATTTCAGCGTTTCCCACTGGGCGCTCCTCACTCCTCCTCCTCCTCCTCCTCCTCCTCCTCCTCCTTTCCTCCTCCTCCTCCTCCTCCTCCTCCTCCTCCTCATTTCCTCCTCCTCCTCCGCCTTCTCCTCCTCCTCCTCCTCGCTCATCCTGGCTCCTCCTCCCTCCGTCCTCAGCCGCTGTCCCGGCTCGAGGGGCCATGGGTGCCACTGCCAGGTAGTAGCGCGCCCATCTTCGAGACGGCGGCTAGACGCGCAGCCCCGCCGCAGCGGCCGCCATAGCGCTGCGCCGTCGGGGCAACCGTGCCCACGTGGGCCGCGAGGCCGAGCCGGTCGACGTGCCCGCGCGACGCGCGCACGATCGCGGACGCTCGTGCGTATCGCCGCGGGTGCTCGCCTGCTGCGACGACATCACAGCTCGATGCGCCCGCAGTCGCCATAGAGCAAGAGCGCGGGATCGAGTGCTTCTGGATCGGGGGCTCCAGCAAGCGCACCCGAGACTGGCCTCGCTGGAGCTCGAGTGCGCCACAGTTTTGTACATGTGCATCTCGGCTCAGCCCCCCCTGGGAGAGGACCAACAATCAGGTGAAGTACTGAGACAGAGCACGTGTGCGCTTGCAGACGGCGATAGACACGGAGCAGGAGGCAAAGGCAGCACTGACTCAGGCCACAGCCGCGCGGGCCGCCTTGGAGAAGGACGTGACGCAGGCCGAAGCGCTACTGGTCACCTTCAAGGCCCTTCAAGCAGAGGCGAGAGTTGCTGCCCAGAAGCGCTCAGTCCACTTCGGCGACACCGCGGATGGCACGAAGATGGACACCTCCCCCTCGGCTCCAACTGCAGTCCCATGGCCTTTTGCACCTCCTGGTACTGTCGGCCAGCAGATGGTACACCAATCTCCCTTCGCACTATCACGGGTGGCACCAGCGGCGGCCCCAGTGGCAGGGGCAGCGCCAATGCCACCGCACCAGAGCATGACGCCGCTCGTCATCCAGCAGTTGCAACATAATCAAGTGGACTTGACGACTCAGATTACATCGCTGTCAGCCCAGTTCGCGGGGCTCCAGACGGCACTGCAGACCGTGGCAGCTGGGCTCCGGAGTGCACAGGCTGCAGGAGGCGAATCAGAGAGCGCAGCGACCCCTTCAGCAGCAGCAGCATCAGCAGCAGCAGGCAAGGCAGCCCACTCGAGGAAGGTCCAGTCTGGGATGCCCAAGGCCTTCCCGGCACCACCACCATCTGATCAGCAGGACTTGCCATTTGCAGCATAGGCCTCGAAGGATGCAGTGGAGAAGCCAGTGAGCGAGGAGGAAGAGGACGGCCTGCCCCAAATCACGGAGGGGGAGCGCTTTGCAGCTATCTCCATGAGAGTGCTCACTCCTACACAGCATGCAGCTACCAGCGACAATGGCACGAAGCAGAAATCAAGCGAGGAGGTCGATGGCGTTCCCGCGCACAAGCTAAGCTGGCTACACCACCTCTCGAGAGCAACGAAGGCAACGGCAGCCAGACAGTTTTTCACAAGCCGAGGGAGCAGCAGTGATGTATCCATTGAGCTGTACGTCGATGGCATGCAGAACGATGCCCCCTCGGGATGTGCCACACCAGAGGAGCCCTGGGAAGAACATGCCTTCGTCAGGGGTTGCGCCTACTTTCCCCTCCCCAGCCCTCACATCCTTTTCGCTCTTCGGAGGTTATGGGGAATGGAGTTAGCGCGAGACTCCATGCCTTTGCCTCAGTATGTTCACTCCTCCACTATCAAGGCACTCAAAGGACGTATCGCCCTCGAGGAGCTCGGTGATTGGAAGTCTATGCACATCTTTACTGACGAGTCAGGTGGTGGCAGTCTGTTTCCTCATGGATCCCCTGTTCCAGCTGATGTCCCTCGTGTTGGGCCCCCTAGCTGGACCTTCGTGGTCATCGTCACGGACTTCTCGGGTAATGAGGCCCTGTTGGGCTATGTTGCGCAGTGTTTCGACCCGGGTGACAGATCGAAAAGCTTGGTTTCGTTTCTTGCCGAGATCTATGCTGCTCAGTGGGCCATGGCTTGAGTTCTCCAATCTGGGCTCACGGGCTCTATAGGCCACGCTTGCCAGGGACAACCAGGGCGCTCTGGATATCATGAGTCGCGGGGCCATTGACGGACCTCTAGAGAGTCATCGTCGGGCACTCAATGGGCTCTCGGTTGTATGCTCAATTCAGGCCAAATCCTTCGTCACTACACACATTGCAGGACACGCAGCGATGCCTTGGAATAAATTTGCTGACGCACTTTGTACATGGACGTCGATGAAGATCGATGTCAGTGTTGTTTCCTTGCCAGATGACTGGCGGCACGCAGCATACGCAGACACTTGCAGCCTGGCATGGGCATGGTTGGAGCAAGTGCCGGACGTCGACCCTAGCTTTCGAGCACAGAACCCACCGGCACCTGCTTATACCATACCACAGTCGCGACCAGCCGTTTTGGGTCTTGCCGATTTGAAGCCGCCAGAGGTACGAACGCAGACGGGGCCAATCAGGGAGGCGGCCCCTCGGTCGCTCCGCATGGTTGCGGCCAACGCGCTGACCTTCGATCCTCGGACGGTCCGTCAGAAGACGGTTTCAGGACCTTACCTCCCTGGGCGAATGGCCCGCTTAGTCGCGATATTCAAGAAGGGGCAGGTTTTCCTGGCAGGCACTTGTGAAACTCGATATCCCAGGGACGGCTACACCAATGTCGGGGAGTCCCATATGTTGCATGCGCGAGCGGATACACATCGGAGGTTTGGTTGTTCTCTGTGGGTCAATATGCGAACTACTCACGGCGAAGCAGTGCAGGGTCCTGCACGCCAGCCCGCGTTTACTGATCGTCGCGATCCGCGCTGAGCTTTTCCCGTGCAAGGTCGTGGTTGGGCACGGCCCGCACAGCGTACGCCAAGTTTTCAATCCCTGCTTCGCGAAGCACCATTGCCAGATTTCGCCACCCATACAGCAGATCATTGTCAACTCGTGCCGACTTTCCTTCGACAAACTATCGCTACCGCCTGTCCTCCGAAGGTCACCAAAAAAGGAAGGAAGCCAAGGCAGTCTTGGGTTTCTACCGTGGCCATGGACGTGAGGTCCAGCATCCTTCGGCACTTTCGGGACGCCCATCGTGATTGACGAAGGGCTTATATTGCTGTTTTCCGGGTTCGGGCCACTCCTGTGGGGGCATCTGGTATCTGTTTGCTTTCAAGGATTGGCGATGCGCCTCTCGGGCTCTGGAGTCTGCGGCACAGTCTTGGAGGGCGTGGTTGGCTGCTGCTACTACTGGCACCACAGCGTGGCTCTCTTGGATCCACAAGTTGAGCACCACCCTGCGGGGCTACTTAGGCTCACTATTATGCCCAGGTCGTTCCGGGAAGCCATCCCTGGAACCTCCCGGGAACGGGCTCCGTCGTCTCGAGCTCCTGGGTTTCGTCGACAGGATCTCAGAGGGGAAGTGCCAGGACATCTTCGCCCCGTTCACCACCAGGACCAAGGTGCTCCAGATTATGAGATCCATGTGCCTACGCCTCTCGACTAAATTAGTTCACATGCAGCTGCGACAGGACGCGAGGGCACATGCCCATCAGATCGTGAAGGAAATCACCAGTGAGTGGTCCAGGCGTGATCATCTGCAGGCATCTCGACGTTTACGTGCGATAGGAGCTGGGTCAAGAAGAAGGTTGGGCAACGTGTGTTACCTATCCTACTCGGCTTCGACGGCAAGCCTCTTGCATCCGAGGCCAAGGCAGCAGATGTGTGGACGCAGCACTTTGCAGGCATTGAAGCAGGCACTGACATCCCCTTCCAGGACCTCGAGTGGCTTCAAAAGAAGATCCAGAAGTTGGCCCAGCCTTTCTTGAACAGGGTCCCGTTCGCACCGGAAGTCCTGTACACGCTTGCCTAGGTTACATGTTGCCTCAAACGAGCTCGTCCATCAGCTGCTGGACCAGATGGGTTCACAGGCAACATGGTTCGCAAGCTTGCCCTAGATATCGCTCCTATCCTTCACCCGCTCTTTCTCAAAGCTCAACTTAGGGTGGAGGAGCCCCTGCAGTGGAAGAGGAGGTCATTGCTGGCCTTTCTTGAAGAAGGGCTGTCCATCTTCAAGGCTGAACTATAGATCGATCCTCGGGTCGTCGCAACTTGGGAAACGATTTCGCAGTCTCGTTCGCTTCGACCTAGCTCCTCATCTTCCCCCGCTCGCTCGACCCAGACAGTACGGCGGCGGCGCTCATGGAGGCGCGGACTTTGCCGCGCTGGACTTTCGTCTTTTTCGGGAGCTGGGCGTCGCCACTGGCAAGTCGGCCATGTTTTTGCCCACGGATGCAGTTCAGGCTTTTTACAAGGCAGTCAGAGAGCTCGTATTCGA